CATTCGAAGTAGATATAGGCACTATGAATTCCTTGTGATGTCTTTTGGACTCACTAATGCTCCTACAACATTTATGGATCTTATGAATCGAGTATTTAGGTCATTCATTGACAGATTTGTGATAGTATTCATAGATGATATTCTATTTTATTCCAAGAGTAAGGAAGAGCATGAACAACACTGCGAATGGTACTTCGGACCTTGAAGGAGCATAAGTTATATGCCAAATTCTCTAAATGTGAATTTTGGCTAGATAGTGTTGGTTTTCTAGGACATGTAGTATCAAAGTATGGGATAGAAGTGGACCAAAAAAAGTTGAGGTGGTTACTCATCGGCCAAGGCCAACATCCGCTACCGAGATTCATAGTTTTCTTGGTTTAGTTTGGATATTATAGGCATTTTATGGAGAAATTCTCACGAATAGCTGCTCCGTTGACCAAGTTGACTCAAAAGAAAGCGAAGTTTGCGTGGACGGATGCAAGTGAGCGAGCTTTCAAGAGCTCAAGACTCGTTTAATCACGGCTCTAGTGTTAGCACTACCATCGGGCTACGATGGGTATGTGGTTTATTGTGATGCATCAAGAAATGGATTAGGGTGTGTGCTAGTGCAACATGGGAGAGTTATTGCCTATGCTTCTCGCCAATTAAAAAGCATGAGCAGAATTACCCTACTCATGATTTGGAGATGGCGACGAATTATCTTTGCCTTGAAGATATGGTGACATTATTTATATGGAGAGACTTGTGAGATTTACACGAGATCACAAGATTTTAAAGTATATTTTCAAGCCGAGGGACTTGAATTTGTGGCAAAGGCGATGGATGGAGTTGCTAAAAGACTATGATTGTTCTATATTGTATCATCCAGGAAAAGCAAATGTGGTAGCAGATGCATTGAGTAGGAAGTCTATTGGGAGTTTAGCGTATATAGCGAGTTGAGAGGAGGCAATTGATCCAAGAATTATATGAGTTACATGATCGGAAGATTCAATTAGAGATTAATGATAGTGGAATGTTGTTAGCTCACATGAATATACGACTAGTGCTCCTAGATTGGATCAAAGCAAATCGGACTAAGGATGAGCAACTAGAAAAGATTAGAGATGGAGTTGTTAAGGGTGACAGAAAGGAGTTTAGGGTGGATAGTGATGGTGTACTCCGACTTGGTGTTAGGCTATGTGTTCCCGATGTGGAGGATTTAAGGAGAGAGATTATGGAAGAAGCACACCGATCCGCATACACGGTACATCCCGGTTCAACTAAGATGTATCAAGATTTTAAAGGAGTATACTTGGTGGAGTGGAATGAAGAGAGACATTGTAGATTTTGTGTCTAAATGTCTAGTGTGCCAACAAGTGAAGTTTGAGCACCAAAAGCCTTTAGGATTACTTCGGGAGTTGCCTTTACCGGAATGGAAGTGGGAAAGGGTAACAATGGATTTTGTGGTAGGGTTACCTCGTTTTGCTAAGGGTTATGACTCAATATGGGTGATTGTGGATAGATTGACGAAGTCGACTGACTTTATTCCGGTGAAGACTACTTACACGAGTAGCTCGGTATGCTTAACTATATATTGATAAGATAGTGAGCCTTCATGGAGTACATGTATCTATAGTGTCGGATAAGGGCACACAATTTACATCACAATTTTGGAGGAAACTCCAAGAGGCATTGGGTACTCGACTTGACTTTAGTATCGCTTTTCATCCGCGGACGGATGGTCGGTCGAAGCGTACAATCCGGACCCTAGAGGACATGTTTAGAGCATGTGTTATGGATTTCGGGGGTAATTGGGAGTATCATTTACCTTTGATTGAGTTTGCCTATAATAATAGTTATCGGTCTAGCATTGAAATGGCTCCATATGAGGCTTTATATGGCAGAAGATGTAGGTCTCCTATCCGTTGGGAAAAAGTAGGGGATAGAAAGTTGTTGGGTCTAGAAATGGTATAGTTGACTATAGAGAAGGTAGCATTGATCGGGGAGCGTCTTAGGACGGCTCACGGTAGGCAAAAGAGTTATGCGGATTCGAAGAGAAAACATCCCGAATTCGATGTTGGTGATCATGTATTTCTTAAGGTGTCACCAATGAGGGGGATCATGCGGTTTGGGAAGAAAGGGAAGTTTTCTCCTAGATACATTGGGCCATTTGAAATATTGGACAAAGTTGGAGCAAGTGGCTTATAGATTGGCTCTTCCATCGGACTTTTTAGGAGTCCACCCGGTATTTCATGTATCTATGTTAAGAAAGTATGTGGCGGATCCTTCACATGTAGTTGAACCGTAAACTGTTGAGCTAAATGAGGATTTGAGTTATGTGGAGCAACCAATTGCAATTGTGGATCGTCGGGTTAGGAAACTTAGGTCTAAAGAGATCATTTTAGTAAAGGTTCAATGGAGAAATCATTCAATTAAGGAGGGCACGTGGGAATCGGAAGATGAAATGCGAGACAAGTATCCACATCTATTTCGATTCAAGGTACGTAGTCGTTTTTAAATTCGAGGATGAATTTTTATAAGAGGGAGAGAATGTAATACCCATAAAACCAAGTAAGTAAATTAGATAGGGGTTAAAGTGAGGGGCTTTTTAGTAACTTTATAAGGAAAGAAATAAAAGAGAAAGTGGCAAGCATGTTTAAGTGAAACCGGAAAAGAGAAACAAAAGAAAAACGGGAAAGGGGGAGAGAAAGAAAAAGAAGAAGAGAAGGAAAGGAGAAGGAAGGAAAGAAAGGAGACGAGTCGCCAACGACCACCCACTCTAGCGACGGCTCCGACGACGGTAGTGGTGGAGTGATTCGAGTAAGAAGAAGAAAAATAAGGATAAAAAGACGTGGAATAAGGAAGAAGGAAAAAGATTTATTAAGTTAGTTTTTGAATTTTTTTTGAATGTTTTAGTTAATTATAACCTTAATTAGGATGAGTTATAAGTAATTTAGTGAATTTCATTTTGAATTAAGAATTTGAATTAGGGATTAGGTTTGATTAAAATTAGGGTTTATGTTAGTTTAGGAAATTTGAAAAAAGTTAGTGAATGGGTTAATTAGGTTCCAATTAAGCTTGAATTTTAAATTATTAGTGTTTAATTATTGTTATTTATGATGAATGTAAATTTATGATGATAGAGGTAAGAGAGGATTTGGTGGAAGAAGTTACTTAAGGAAGAGACAATTACAATTTTGGGTGTTCCTCTAGATTAGAGGTAAGTATAACATATATTATGAGTCTTTACTATCATATATATATATATATATATTGCTTGTGAAGTGAAAAATTGATTGTATGAATAAATGCTTCATTAGTACAAATAATTGTATATGAGTTGAATTATTTTAGTATAGGTGTTCTTACCATAAGCTAAATGAATTGAATTGGTATGTTGCCATATGAATTGTGGTTATTAAAGAAAGTATTGATACATTGAATGCTATATGTGTATGTTGATATGATGATCACTTGCATTATATGGAATTGTGTGATTGATATGTATTGAATGAGAATAATGATATTGATGACTTGAAAGAAGTCTATGTAGGACTAACTAAGCCAACGAGTTATAGTTAGCCTAGGTGCACCTAGTATTGCCGGCTAGAGAATGGCCGCAGTGCTTCCCTCGAGTTCACCCTGCGGGGGCCATAGTTTACCCTTTTGAGGGCCGGAGTTTACCCCTGCAGGGGCCATAGTTACTCTTTTGAGGGCCAAAGGAATAGATAGTTCCGCATAGAGTGATTTCAAGTAATTGTTATGCTATTATTAATTGTTAAGAAAGAAAGAAAGAAAAAGAAAAAGTTATTGATTGCTTGCTTGGTTGCAAATCATGTATGGTAGGTGTATTAGCATAATTGTATGTATAGCGATTTATAATATGTGTTATGCTTACCGAGTTTTGAAAACTAACCCCTCTCCAACCTCAAATATTTTATAGATAATACGGATGCTAGATAACGTGATACGAAGCTAAATCATAGAAGGAGGACGATAGATTTTCCGGATTTGAAGGTACTACCCGGATACTATTTTGCTTCCTTCGGGTATAGGACATGGTTGTTCAAATTTGTACTCATTGTCCATTTTGAAATTGTAATTTATCATTATATATTTTATTTCACTTAGTTGCTCCGTTGGTAGCATCACCAAATCCGGGGATAGCTAGTTAAGGGTCTTTATGTTTTGTATTTGGATGGTTAAATGGTGATTTATGAATTTTGTTATGTTAAATATTGGATTATATGTTTGTTAGTCAATTTAGTAAATACCGAGATTTATAAGAAAGTGTGAATGTCCAATGGAGGGACTTGATGATGATTGAGAATTGATGAAGATGATTTGGGAGTGTATATATATATTGTGATTTTTATGTAAGATATATATTATTTTTGGGACCCTTCAATTATAGGGGAAATGTCGTCGAAATTTCGTAGGAAATAGAGAAAAGATTAAGACTTACGTAGCTTGTGATGGGTCACCCCACCTCGGGCTATGTGCCGGTCGCGGCTCGTCGGTTCGGGTCATGACAAGAATAAACATGTTGCACTCGAGTGATTGGAATCCTCTTAGGTCAGCTAAAGAAGCTGACAATTGGAAAAAGATGCTGGCTTGAAGAGTGAGGTTGATCATAACATCAATTGCAGAAGAATAAGGTTTGCGTTGATGAATGGGAAAAGGCCGTAATAAATCTCTATCACCATTCTCCCAGCTGATTAATTAGATTAAGGAAAATATGAGGCGACCTCATTAAATAGAACCTTCAAGGATAATCTTTATCTTTTGGATTTCACGTCATAGCAATATAGCATCTATACCCGGGCTGAGCATATCTAACTAAGACACAAGTGGTTTCCTTCGGGAAATTTTTTCTCATAACTGCGTAGGAATATGAAAACAAAACACGTGCATCCAAATATTAAAAACTGCTATAGGATGGTGCTACCCTAATAAGAAGCTCGTGAGGTTCCACTGCAGCTTGTTCCCTCTCTCTTTCCTCCCCTCCCCTCGTAAAAAAAATGGAGAGCAATGTAAGTATAAAGATGAATGACAACTTCAACCTTCCCTCTCATCAGACAAAGCTTCCCAAAGTCAGCTCTTACCATTGGTGGAAGTCAAAGACTAGATTAGGAACTACTTTCGATTATCGTATAAGGAACTTCTTCCCTATTGGTCAAGTTACTTACACTCATAGAAAAGATCACTTTTCGACAGTATGTAAGAGGGATCAGCCATAGCCACTTCCATCACCAAGAATGAAGAATAAAAATGGCGTACAGACGAATTCTTGCACTAATGGCAAGAGAGACTGATTGAGGAGCTTGCCCCATCTTACTTTACAGAAAGGAATTCATTTCACGTACATGAACTGGGTTAACAAAAAGGGCCTCAAACTACAGTGATTTGATATCTAGCTTTTCTGGTATGAGAGGTAGATTATATAGGTTTTCTAGGTTGTTTCGATCACAGAATGGCCAAAGAATCGATTAGTAGAAGATCTGTATGAGACAAGTTTCAATTTGAATAAAGAATTTTAATCCAAAATCGTAAAGGAAGATTGTTCCTCACCCTCAAGACAAAGAAAGCTGTACGTACGATACGAGTTAGGATCAGAGAAAGAACTGCTATGAACTCAGGCACCCATAGAAGGTTTTCCTGAACACGGGATCTAAGCCAAAGCTTATTAAACTTGATAAGAGAACCTCTTTCGAGATGTGAGGAATAGCCGTAGCATGATAGCAGAGTTAAATGGAGAAGTAACTAGGAGAAGAAAGACAAGCAATACAGAAGATGAGATTAAGGCTTTGTTTAACGAAGATAAAGGCCCACCATCACCGGGAATCTCAAAGCCCTAAGTTCGGATGTTAAGTTGTAAAATCTCGTTGATGTAAGGATCGATGATGAACACAATGAAATTAGGATAAGCATCAAAAGAGATAACTTTGTTTTCCACAGATAGCTGTACTCTTGAGATGATAACATTATCGTAGGTACTCCACCCACGATCTAAGACACAAAGAATGCTACCAGTATTTACGTCGACCCTAGTAAATGGGACTATATTGCTTTCATTACGCTGATGGAATAAGAATTCAAATGCAGGACTTTCTGGTGCATGTCAATCATTCAAATGGTAATCTGGCATCACGAGCAGAAGTCGATAGAGGAAATGAGGAAGCCGACATCGACTCACCGCCATACACTAGAGGCATCCCAAAAGCTTTTATCTAAAAAACCAGTAATTCTTCATGCGCCTTCGTCGTTAGTTTGTGATCATCAAAGGCCAGCTGCCACTCAAATCTCCACTGCCCATTTAGATGTTGCACTTTCAGAGCTTATCGCTTGATTTGGAAGATCTAAAACAAAAAGGAGTGGTATTTGTTAGCAACAACGTAATGGAGGTAGTCAATCAATATGGATTGATTCAAAATCTGATTCAAATCCAGTATAATACCTATGGGTGCATAAGAAATGTATTGAATCAATTCTTTTTAATGAATAGATCTTGTCACAACTTTGAATATGGAATTCAAAAGGATTAAATAAGAAATGATAATCTAAATCATAAAACTATAATGAGACATTCAATCAACCAATATTTATCGAATTTAAAACAGAGTAAGAAGAAATGATTCGATCCTCTTATTTTTCTTCCTCGAACAAAGAAATCCATGAATTGGGATTCTAATTCATAAAGATACAAATGGTCTAATGGGAGCAAGTAATTTCCATCAAGTGCTCTAACAGAATCTTCATGCTAAACAAACCGTTCATTTTTATCCTCCATAGACCAAAATTCTTATGACCATAAAAAAGAGTGACTTCAAATTTTAAAACTGACATTATGAATAAAAGGATCCCTAGAATTCAAATAGGGCTCTAATACTTGTTTATTGTAACAAACAACAAAATAAACAAGTAATGAAAAATCAAATGATTTAAAAACAAACACAATCGAGACAAAGATTGATGTAGAGCAATCAAAGCGATCTACATCCATTGGCGAGAAGAGAAGTTTTCATTAGATTATAAAAGAAAGAATATAAGAGCACCTTATAGAATGGTTAAAAGCTAAATCTCTATTGTTTGTATTAATACAAAAAGAGAACAATAAGAGTTTAAATACCTTAGTCATAAAAGAAACCCTAATGAGCTAAAAAGATATGTTAGACTGAGCCATAACTAAATGGATTGACCTATCATAGAATTCAAGACTTATTTATTAAAAACCACAAAAGAATAAATAGTAAAAGGAACTAATTAAAAAGAGACAAGAAAATGTATGTGTGAGAGAAAAGGGGTTGGGTAATTGACATTGGCCTTTACAACCTAAATTGTGCTACAAAATGGAAAGGAAAAAGAGAATGCACACTAAATAAATTTTAAATTTAGCTACGAAACTTTTGCTTATGAATTTATTTTCATCCCAAAATACAAATATTTGTTGATGAAATAAAATTTCATCCTTAAATCATTGGCGCCTAATTTTTTCCTCCGCGCCTAACTTGTCCTGCGCCCTTGTTGTGAAAACTAATTATTTTAGGACAAATTATACTATTGTAGGATGAATTATACTATTTTAGGATGAAAATATATATCTTAAAATTTTAAGTTATCCAAGGATGAAATTTATTTATTTAAATATCTATTTGGAATGAAAAGAAAGTTATCCAAAAATGTTTACTATCTATAAGACAAAACTAAAATGTTGCCTATGTTTCAAATAAAACATAAACTCCTAATTTTGGTAAAAGACTCTATGCCTCCAAAAAATGTTGCTTGAGTAAAAAACCCATAAAATCTTACCTAAGTAAAATACCCATAATCCTAACTCGCTGCAGACTCCAATTAAATTTGCTATCCGTTGTAGACTCTTTCAATTAGATTTTCACTTGATCATAACCCACAATCCTTTTTCACAACTAATAATTGTTGTAGACTCCTTCAATTAATACCTATAAAATTAAATCTCCTTAGTGTGATTTCTCGCTTCGATATTGTTTCTCTCCTTTTCTATTCAGAGTTAGAGACATTAATGGTGGATAATGCGAGCATCATTGAAGATATTTGCTTGGAGTAAGCCGTTATGATCGATCTTCCTAAGAGAATAACGAACTTATGACAATCGAGGTTACCTTCTATTTCCTTACTAGTTTGTTGTCCGATTTGTTAATTTCTTTATTGCTATAAGTTCTTCTCTCTAGCATAAATATATAGTAATATTCGAATGGTTTTCTTTTGTCAAGATGTATTCCCCTCACATGACTTGTATGAAAATGGTTGTTCATGAATTTGAGTTCGTTGTTCGATTTCAATGAGTAACGGTGACCATTACCATTTTCAATTTATTCAAGTTCAATGAGTTCTATTCCCATTGAAAGGAACATATTTTGAAGTCCATGATATTGTCATTTTGTATTCAATACTCGTCGGTACTTTATTTCCTATTATACTTACATTTATGGTTTTTTTTTTAGACCTTGCACTCGAACATCTAAGCAAAATTTGGAGAACAATACTATGAGAATATTGAAAAAATTAGCATTTTGCAATCTCATTGTTGGGTAGGGTAATGTATTTTCAAGGATTATACGAATGGATATAGTCCGGGTCCTCTATTGACAATGTATAGTATCATGGATTGCTATCCGAGTTTTAAGTTTTTGATTGTCTCTTTTGTGAGTCTATTTTTATTCTTCCGGTTTGCTTCAACACTATTTTGATCTTGATTCATGTTGAGTGCCCGAACTTAGGCATGACAACTTTTTTAGGTGTGTTGGTCGAGCCTACAAGCACAATCATACTTATCCATATATTTAACAAACGAGTCTCTTAGGAAGAAACTAGTTTGAAATTATACCGAAATTGGGCTACGATTTGGTTTGTTGTTGGAAATGCCAAAGTCTATGTGTATGGCTATTGTTTATGGCTGCAGAGTTGGTCATTAGACACTTATAGGAAGGACTTCACAATTGAAATCTGTTTGCTCAATGTACTACTCTTCACGGAATGATTATGCGATGTTGGGAATAGCTTTTGCTACCAAATATCAAAGGATTGAGCCACTCGAATCAAATGAATAGATGACATATGAACTTTGCTATCTCTCCGATCAACCATATATATCCTTACTACCGAATAACTTTGACACATATTCCTAAATTTTGGATGGAACTCATTGAATGAATTTAGAAATTCTCTAGCAATCCATCCACTCATTTTATTTTTCCTCCCCTCCATATGTTATAGCATGCATCCTACTAGCATTGGTTATCTCACTCGATTAATGCTTATAGCAGGGCTCTTAAAATTAATATAACGTAACTTGAGATTTTGTTCTCAGCGACCTCGTTTTGGATGGGAGTTACAATAATATAACTAGGGGTCGATGTGTTTTTAACCTTAATAAACCCGAAAAAGTGCAATTGGTAAGGTGTTTTATTTTTTAGGTGGATGCACTTATTTCACTATATTGGTTCGAATTCTTTATACTTTATAATAATATATATTCATCGATATCCTTGTTAATGATTAGGAGATTAGGTAGATTTAGGATCATTATTAAATTGGTTCATGCTTGTCATGTTTGATTAAGTACAATCTATATATACACACAAATGATAAAAATTTCATGCCTAATCTACCCAAATCATTATTTTTTTTAAAAAAATAATGTTAATTTTAGTCCCTTAACTAGCCTATTGTCCCTTCCCCGAGCAAGATCATGTGAAAATTGAGGCCTAGATCTGGACTATGAAAGGAAAATTTGATTCATGATTCTATAAAACAGGGACAATAATTCTATTAAAAATTGAAATATAATGATCCCAAAAAACTAGATCTAATCTAGATCCATATACCATTTCATACCATTATTATTTTTATGAATTTTTAAGTTGAAAATGTTTAATCCTCGCTAAACAACTCTAGATCACACACACTTGCCTAAAATATGATAAATGTAATCGAAAAATGTTGGGACAAAGATAGAAGGATGGCTATGTTGAGAAAAGATTGAACAACAAGGAGAGGTAGCTTGAAAATCAGGGATTGGGTGGTTAAAACTATTTTTAATGGATCTATCAACTCATGATATAAATTATTCAAAGTGGTGTTGGGAGTGAGTTTGATTTGTTAGGAAAATACAAATAGTTTGGAAAATTAAAATAGTATTGGATGATTTTGCTTAGGAAACAAAAGGATCAATTAATAATACTCCTATACGGCGGGGTAACTTCAGGGTTTATCTTCATATACATGTGGTATGTATGCTCCTAATTACATATTGCCAATATTTAGTTCCTACCATGATCTTAACATCAACCATATACATTACTTTTCTTTCCATTTTGCTCGGCCTAGCTGTTTTGGGCCTTGCTGGGGATCTTGAATGGTAATTGGGTTAATGTTATGAAAGGTGGTTCTCAATTAGGCTCCACTTACTATTAGGACTGTAAGAGTAATCAGAGTTAGAAGTCTTAGTGTGAAAGCCTTGCACTCCAAGTAGGACTGCTGGGAGCCAGCATGCATACCTGCTATGAGCCAAGCATGCACAGGCATGTATGCTAGCTCGTAGCAGCTGTGAATGCTAGCTCACATCAGCCTTGGCTGGAGTGTAAGGCTTCCATGCTGACTCAGATTATTCTTACAGTCCTAAGACCTACCAGATTAGGGGTTTTTAATTAGAAAAGAAGAAAGACATTTTTGTTTAGGCTTGGCTTTTTCAGTAATAGAGTTATAATAAGAAAAGACTAGTGTTGTAAGCCACGAGTTCGCTTTCACTCTTTTGTTTTTCCACATAGATATATTAAATATAGATTATTAATACAACAACATTCTCTTGGGGGAACTAATTTCTTGATGTATGAAAGTTTTGGACGTGGAGCTTAAGATTTAGCTAAAAGTAAACTTAAATTGGTACACAAAAATAAATCTAAAAATGTCTTTAATTTTTCTTATTTTTTTTTAAATGAGGTCGTTAAGGCACATTACTTAATAGTTTTTATCCAATTTTTAACTAGGTTTTTTATTTATTTTCAAAAGACCTTACCCAACTTTCTAATTTTATGAATGAAACCTAATTATTAGGATTTCTTACTCTCTCTCTC